AGCAGTTGAGAATGGGCCATGGCCAGTATAGCACAGAGATTCCTAAAAAAATAACACCAAATACGCATGTTTTCCTTGAGCGTTTGCTTGAAATACTTATGATCAGATATTAGACTTTTCTTATAATGACGTCAAACGAAGAAAAACACTTAATGCGATGTCCCAAGGCACAATTTTTAGCGACAACTCGCGATGCAAATGATGTTTTTATGAAATTTGTTGGCTCGCCAACGACTTGCACTTTGCTGTGGAACATCGCATATATTGGTTTTCAGCGTTTGACGTCATTATAAAAAAGGTTTATTGAAGTATCATCACGCACGAACCTGTGAATAGCGGAAGCTTTTTCAAAATTTTCTCTTGAGATGGAACTGGAGTTTGTCACAGCGTACCTCAGTGACACATCGCTGTAAAACTGAATACAAATACACCTTAGTGTCACATCACTGCAAAACTAAACACAAAAACATTATGTTAACTATATTGCTATGTTTAAACGGGGCCTTAGATGATGAACTGATGTCAAGGCTGTGATTATAGAGACCAGGATTGACATCACCTGGTATCACCCGAGGGAGTACACGACTAGATTGATAGTTACCTACTGTACTTACTACTAAATAAAAACTAACTAAACGACAGATTTAGTAGAACACACCCTTCCGGAACTGGAAGGGTGATTTGAATAAGAATGAAGTAATAAAGTAGTATAATAAAGATTTTATTTAAACTGTTAAAACTCCCATCAGCAATGTTGCTGGTATTAACGGGAGAACAGTGAATACAATTATTGAATGGACGACTTGCGCTTTAGACTAAATTTTAATCTAAGTAAGAACAACGAAATCTATCACCACAGCTAGAAAGAGCGTGTTGGAATTAGTAATATTACAAAGTTTGGTTGCGAAATGTTGTAAAATACGGAAAATATAGCCCTTCAAAGTTGGCAAATTTGTATATATACTTTTGTATTACGTGCGCGAATTGGTAACTAAATTAGTTACCAATTTCCGCACGTAATAGAAATGTATACAAATTTGCCAACTTCGCAGGGCTATATTTTCCGTATTTTACAACATTTCGCAACCAAACTTTGCAGTTTTTCTAATTTTGATAACTTCTTTACGAAAATATCCTTTGTTATTTCCAGACTAAAAATTTTTCTAAAGCGCAAGTCGTCCATTAACAACGTTAGTATTTACACTTGTTTTATATATACAATATAAACATGCATATTCTTATACACTACAAATATGAGACTTATTGTCAAGTTCTAAAAGATGCGTGTAAGCAGTATGTTTAAATTTTGAGAAGGATAATATTTCTCTAATGTTTAAAGATAAAAAGTCCCAGTCTTTTGCACCAGCATAGCGAGTGTTTCTTTTGTAAATCTAGATTTCGATTTTTAGGATTCGGATTTTTTGGATTCGTTAAACAAATGGAACGAATTGTGAGAATCGGAATTCGCCTGCCGTTTTCACGCCATTTTACAATAAGTTTTCTGTCCCATTAATATACCTTTCGGTCGGGTCAAGGAACGTTGAATCCTAATCAAGATCCAGATTGAATCCGAAAAATCCTTATGTTGAGGTGGATTCATCAGATTCGAATCTATTTTAAGATTTTGTTAAATGAAACTGAAAATCGATAATCGGATTTGAAGATCCAAAACCGGATTGCACTAAAGGAACACACCCATACTTGAATGTTGATTGACCTATTGCACTGTTCACCTTCGGAAGATCAATCGGCGTCTTATCCCTCAGGTCTCTGTTGTGCATTCAATGTCTGAATTTGAACGTCTCAGTTGGCTAGGGCAGTCCAAGTTATACAGTATGTTGAAAATATTTATAGAACATAAAAATCGTCTCATGCTATGCAATGATATATAGGTTGCACTGTATGTACCTGTAGTTCAGCAGTGCATGTAATAGGCCTATACATATTACTTATTTTTTATCAAAAGACCTGACCTCACCTGCATTCCGAGCTGTGAACGATTGCCAAAAAGAGATGTAAAAAAGAGAGGCGTAGGCAAACGTGGTGTTGTGCTAGATTTACTGAACCATCCTGTTTTTATTTGCTTGAGAATACTGTAATGGATAAATTCTTGTGTATAAATAGAGTAACCCATTAAGCTGCAATGCACCCAAATGCATCATACTTTATTGTTTTACCCTCGCTGTCTAACATCAGACGATTTTACTTGTCAAGGGGAGTCTTGGGAATAATTCGGTTAATGGACCATTTGCATTATAGACTAAATTTTGATCTAGACAAAAATTTCATCACAGCTTGAAAGAGCATCACAAAATTAGTAATATTCCAAAGTTTTGTTGCGAAATGTTGTAAAATGCGAATAATATAGCCATGCAAAGTTTGCCGTTTTTCAGTCATTTTGTATCACACACGGGAAATTGACAGCCCAATCGGGTGTGTGTTGGGGCATCAATTTCTCGTTTGTAATACAAAATGACTGAAAATTGCAAATTTTGCAGGGCTATATTATCCGCATTTTACAATATTTCGCAACGAAACTTTGGAATGTTACTAATTTTGTGATGCTCTTTCAAGCTGTGATGAAATTTTTGTCTAGATCAAAATTTAGTCGATAATGCAATTAATGGGTTAATTTACTTTAGAGTTCAACATATAGTTGCTACAGATAACAATGACTTTCAAGGCTACACAATATAATATGTACTGTACTTACCCCCAGTTAGGTAAACCAAGAGACACAACATTAGCATGAACAATCATATCAAGAACAGAGAAGTAGTAATAATCGAACAACAATGGTACCTGAGGAAAAAACAAACAAGCATTACAAACTTGGCACTCTAGATTTAAGGTGTTAGCAACAGTCAAAAATTCGGCAATATGCTCTGTTTTCCAAATTACATTTAGCTACCAATTTACCAATTTCCATAATGGAAATGGTTAAATCTACAAAAAATTAATTTAAACATAGGCGGAACCTTCTCTTGTGCCTTTTTTGAAGCCTGTGAACATGCACATGTGCTGCAAATGCTTATTTTCTTTTGTGAATCAGGCTAAATAGATAGCTAAAACCAAGTCATAAACTTTAAGGTTAAGTAGTATACCTGGTGGTGTAAGCCATTGAAACAGGAGAAGTGAAATTTGAGCGTTCTCGATGTAACAAGAGGTAAACTGCGATAATTGTTCTGTCTGGAAGTAAATGGACATATATTCATCAGAGCACCAGATGTGGACATACAATATTTGAAGAGGAATTAAAAATTTACCTAACTACTTGATCTGTAAAATGAACATCAACCGTCATTTCCAACGCTGCTTTGTCAATACAATCCGCAGCCTGTAAATAGTAGGACAAATGCTAGCTACACAACACACTATGCATCTAGACAAACTAAGAGATCATTTATCACAATGCATCATGACATCATCATCTGACATCATGACGATATTATCATCATCTCATGTCATCATCTTACAACATCATCATCATATAATTAACATCATCATCTGATGTCATCATATAACATCATCATCAAATGATGATCATCATCATCATCTACTGTCATCATGTGGCATCATCATTATCATGACATAATCATGACATAATCATATGACATCATCACCACCATCTGATGATGATCATCATCATCTGATCATCATCTGATCATCATCATCATCTGATCATCATCATCTGATCATCATCATCTGATCATCATCATCTGATCATCATCATCTGATCATCATCATGGAAGTTCATGCTGAAAGTTCATTTCACATTTTAGCTGTTTAATATTTATATATAAACTATATACCTTTGTACTATCAATTAACAAATGTACTCTAAAGAGAAATACATCTTTTAGCAACACTTCTTCATCTTTATAGTAGATATTGAACGTGCGAGAAACAGCAGTTTGACCGTCATCTGTGACATATGCAGGGAACAATGAGAAGGCACCTCTCTCACCTGCAAACAAGTTATTTACAATTATTGATCATAATACTGTGGATGACTTACTCATTATCCAGGAAGAAATTCAATAAAAATCATTTAATTCCCACACTAGCTATTTTTCCTCATTTACTGTCAAATGCACAATTTTTATACGGTCAAACACAAGCACACTGTACCATGGCCTTCACAGACTTCTACTTGAATTGCATGGCTTGATTTTGGTGGTTTAAAAGTAAGACGGAATTGATAATATCTAAATAAACAAAACATTTCAAAGTCAAGTAAAGTTGGGGATAGTGAAAACAGGAGAATAATTTGCCTCACTGGCATAAGTGTTGTGCTATCTTACCCCCTTATAAAAAGGTCCACATTATAAAATTTGTGTAGCTCGACTAGAAACTCAATAGTCGCCTGAAGGTCACCCATACTGCAAGTTCAACTAAACAGATGAAAAACACAAAATAATTTAGTCAATTTATGATGGAGAGTGCAGTTTCTGCACAAAAGTTTGAAAATTGTCAGCTTGGAGTTGTGATACAGATTGGCATAATCGCGCAAGTCTTAATTGTCTGGCCAGTTAGGCAAATTTATGTGTTTATTTTGCATGGCATGTTAGTCAATTATGTTGTCAAGACAGCTGCAGATCAAGTGAGATACAACTACCCAAAACATACAAGTGATGGCCTTTTGTTGATAATGACCTGATCATTTTGTAAATGTTAAAGTTTCGTACAACTTTGTCGTTCTGTTTGCCGACATAATTCTGTTGGGTTGCACTGGAACCAATTTTTAAAGTTCCGGCCGGAACCGGGTTTGACCGGAACTGGAAAAAAGTGAAAAAACTGATTTATTAATTAAGCCATATATAGTCATATGTTACTTTGTCTGCTGCCAGACAGGCAGACACTTCAAGTCATCAAGGAGAGAGAATGTTAGAATAAAAAGATTGACAAACGTTAAACATTGTAATGAAGTGTTAATGGTGTATATTTTCCTTGTGTAGTTCAAATTTCTTCCTACTGTGAACTTTAGTTAGACACAAAAACGTTTGATATTCTATATCTCTGAAAATAACAGAGTTCTGGTTCCGGCCATACTTTTTTATTAGTTCTGGCCGGAAACTAACCCCTATAATTCTGGCCGATTACCCTGTCATAAGAAAATTTTACTTTGGCATACATATTGAAATGTGCCCTATACTGAAACTTAAAAAAATCATATTAGCAACCTAAACCTACATCTCAAATTTGAATATTCTTTGAAGTGCCCAGCAATGTTTATGGACAATCACCTGCCAACAGTCTTTAACTCTTGATCTGCTCTCTAGTTTTGGCACACAATTGAATTTTCATAACTTATTATCATACAAGCACAACATCCGTTTTCAATTTAGATTTCAGGAGGTGGGCAAAAATATTCTTCGTTGTTCTGTACTTTTATTGCATAATTTACTTTGAACTCTGAAATGTATAAATGAACAAGCATATGTAATTGTACAGAAATTTATTTTGTTTAATGGCAAGTTCAAACAAATATTACGGGAAAATGAAATTCCTTAATTACGTATAAATAATGAAAGTAGAGCAATAACTAAATACAATATATGTCGGGCAGAATTATTAAAGTATATACTTAGGAACTTTGTTGTATATTATTACTGTAAAATGAAACACTTGTTGTATTCATATTTTTTATTTCATTTTCTGATAGCTGGGTAGTAAAATTTACGATCAAATATCGCACATATATCACCGCATATGAGCAATATACTCGTAGCAAGATACGAAAAAAAAATTAAAATACTGCATCACAAATAGCATATTTAATTACTAGTACTATAAACAAAATATTATATGGCACACAAACTACGCATGTTAGAAAAGTCTTATTTTGGCACAAAGAAGTCTTTTTAACAGTGGTAAATGTATTTGAAACTTTGACGTGACTGTCAAGCTAGTACCGCTTGGGGCTCTAACTTTGAAAAAAATATAAACATGTACTTTATATATGAATAACAATTTTTTGGTCCGAGCAATTTAAACTTGCAGATCAATTGTATTTACTTACCATGAACAAGCACTATATCACACGGTATTATCAAAGCATTTTCAAAAGAAACAGCGATGAAACTACATGGTTTTATAGAGCCAAACACCTTTCATTTTTTCGTCAAATTGATCTGAAATTAATATTTGCTGTTCATCGACTCGGGAAAGTTATCAACGTGAGCCTGCTAGTGGTCAGCAATTGTTTATGATAATCACTGATACTTTATTTATGCAACATTTATGCATAATTGTTCATTTTATATTAAAACATCAACGAAACTGCGGCTTTTCGATTCACATACAGAGTTCTCATCAAGGCTATCAAAGAGTTGAAAGAAAATAAAAATTTACAAACATGACACAGTTCAAACCAGCAGTGTTGTGAACAAGGTCAATCCTAGCACACTCCAGTTTCTAATATAGCGTTCATTAGGCGAAGATTGGGATAATTATGGATAGTTTAAAAAATCCTCAGATTCTACCAGATTCTACGTATCCTATATCCCGTTATATCCATATACACCCTGAGAAATGCGCGCAAAGTACGATGGTATTCAAAACTGTCATGGTGGATTTGTGCCAATTTTGAAAAAAAAACGAAAAGGACTTGCAAAATTTTGTCAAGAATCTCACTTGTTATCATTTACCTGAAAGTTTTTGAAGAAAGGGAAAGTACTAAATCTGTCGAAAATGCCTAAAAATATTCAATACAATGTTGGCGATTTAATTTGGGCGAAAATGAAAGGCTACCCGCATTGGCCTGCTAGAGTAAGCGAATAATTTATATGTTGACATGGATTTGTAGTATTTATAAATATTGGTTGAAGAATATATTTAAAATGAATTAAGAGTTATCTGGGGAGGAGAATGTTCAATAGTGGTTTAGGATTTTAGGTCATTTAAGCAGTGAAAATTGTATACTAAAATTTTCTACTATCAACAAAAGTTGCTAAATTCCACGTATATTTACAATTTATCGTACTAGGGGAGTTACTATAAAGTACATATACAATAAATCCCCTATCAAATAGCAAATACACAGCATCAAAATCACACTATTCAATACTGGGTTATTCCACAAAACATCTACATTTGCCCAACAGAGGAAATTGCAAGTTTACCCCCCACAGCACCACATGGTGCATTTTGTGTACAACCGTTTGAGGGTTACATTACAGTTTACTGTACCTGAGTGATAGAAGTATTCAATGACATATATCTGATGAAGTTACATTTTTTAAGCCCTGGGCAAACTAAGAAACATTGTTGCCGAAACATTGTTTCAGGCTACCAATGTTTCGCCATGTTTCCAAGAGTGGGCAAACACTAGGAAACATTAGTGAGAAACATAGGGAAACATCAAATGTTTCTGAATTCGCTAGGAAAATTTTTGCTTCTCAGGAAGCAAATTTTGTTTCCGCAACAATGTTTCCATGAGTGGGCAAACAGGGAAACATTTGCGGAAACATTGTGAATCACAAATGTTTCCACAACAATGTTTCCTAGTTTGCCCAGGGCTTTAGTGATTACTAGGGTATGGTCAACAGAAATGGATTGCTGTACAATATTCTGTGTTTTGCAGAAACAATATGGCCATACATAACAACATAACAAAACTGTTTGGTTTTAGATTGATATGGTTGAACCAGGAACAAAGATTCCAAACAATAAATTACCAATATTCTTCTATGGTACACATGAAACGTATGTACAACTCTAATGCAATCTGTAGCTATTTGGATAAGGGGTAGACCATTAGAAAAATTCTGTCCTGGTAATAAATTCACAGGGAAAAAATTGAATTTCCATTCATGGAATTTGATAAAAATTGAATTTCCATTATTTAAAGCATGCATAGGAGTGTTTTATCACATATAAAACACGGCGCATAGCAGAGTGTTTTATATGTGATTAAACATGACTACAAGTGCTTTAAATGTCTTAAAAAATTACTCATCTTATACGAGTTCATTGGCGAAGTAATTTTTAAAATAAACTTTGTCTAAACTGAGAAAATCAAAGCTAAAGACCTAAAGTTTATGTAAATTAATTAACATGATTTTTTATCACATATAAAACCACAACACACTTATGATTTTTCTTTGTGTTTTCCTCCTGAATTATTGAGTTTTTTAATGGTTTTTATATATGGTAAAAACCATGATGTTTAATATTTACCATTAATGGTATTTTTCTGGTCCACAGAAAAACATAAAGTATATACCATCAATGGTAAAAATATAAAACAACTTAACTCCGAAAATAAATATTTTAATATTTTTTTGACTAAGATTCAGTCATCATCAGCTGATGAATGAAAAAGATTAATCAAAAATGAAAAAGAAAAAAAAATGAAAAATGAAATGAAATGAAAAAGATTCATCATCATCAGATGATGATGTTTCCTGATGATGACTGAATCTTAGTTGAAAGCTAGAATACTTATTTTCGGAGTTACCGTTGTTTTATATTTTATTAATTAAAATACTCAGTGGTTCCCATATTTTTTAGGAAAATTAAACATCATGGTTATTTCATCATCATTGTTTTTACCATTTGTGAAATGTATAATAATTAATGATGGCAAGGCCAGATTTTGGTGGAAATAGTGGGGGAGGTGAAAAAAAATTTAGGGGAGGTGCAGCGGTCTAGCTCACAACCACCATAGAAAGTTAGGGCTTAGAACAGGCCAACAGTGATGTATGCATGTAGTGTACATTATATAATGTATCAGTGTATTAATGAACTATGACTGTAGAACTCATCCAATTTTGCCCTAGGAAGTTTCTTTCAAAACATAGTATTAAAAGATGCTTGTGATGTCACTCTTAGTGTATATCCACACCGGGCAAGCTTGAAAAATATCCCTGACCACGGTGAGAATCGAACCTACGACCTTTGGAATACTAGCCCATTGCATTAAAAGGTTACTTGACACAGAGATGAATGGCTATCACTGTTTCAATTTTACAGAAAAACTTTCTTACGAAGTGTAGATCCTAAGCGACCAAAAAATGTCAAATTTTCACTGTGATCT